TAATAAATAGAACCTAATAAATTTTATTTCTGTGGCATTAATACACCCAATCTCATTAATAAGAAAATATTTCATTATATTTTTTTGGGTTAATTAAGACAAAAATTATTATATTTTATGTTAATTGATTAATAATTATATTTTTAATTAAATAATATAATAGTTAATATTAAAACTAGTAATTATATTTTATACTAAATAATATATAAAAGTTACATTAAATTATATTTTACACTAAAATCAATATTTTTTATATGATGAAACGGTTGTTTATTAATAAATTAATTTTTTTTATGTCATAGTAAAATTTCTTAAAATCACATAAGCAATTGTTATAATAAATGTAATATTTTTCAGCTAATTAGTTGGTCATGATCACTCAAAATTATAAAAAGTATATATTTATTACATTTTATACAATTAATATTGTGATTTGTATACAATCAAATCGTGTGTACTATTTATTTTAACCAATGATTAAATTTTAAAATATATACTATTATATAAATTATATTTTAATATTATATACATAAATATAATTTATAATACTATATATTTGAAATATGATACAATTATATAACTTATAATTTTTATATTATATAAATAAATATAATTTATAATATTTAATTTTATTTACATCTATGCAAATGCATATAATCGAATACTATTATATTTGAATCAGAATACTTTTTCCTCTCCTTCACTTTTCCCCTTCTCATTCTCATTCTGTGTGTGTAGAGTGTAGACAGGCCAAGGAAGCGTATACAAGAAAGCGAGCGCTACCTCTGCATATGCATTAAAAAAATCTTGAAATACTTTGTAGAGATAAAACAGATATTAAAGGTTGATCTTTTTTTTCTTCTTTGAGTATTGTATAGTCATGGCGGCGAATATTGGGATGATGGATGGTGCATACTTTGTGGGGAGGAACGAAATTCTTGCGTGGATCAACGCCAGGCTTCATCTTAATCTTTCTCGAGTTGAGGAGGTGAAAAAATGAAAAATCCCATTCTCCTTACATGGAAAATTTTGGATTTTACTTTATTTTTTTCTGGGTTTTTGGTTGCTTTATGGTTGTGGGAAGAATGATGTTCTGATTTTATGCTTCTTTGCTAATTTCGAGTTGATTAGGATTTTGCACTGTGAAATTCCTTTATTTATATCTTTTAGTTTTTTTCGTTTTTGTTCTTTTAAGATGAGAAATTTGGTGGGTACTTTGTTTGTTGGCTTGGAGTACTTCGGTTCATAGGGTTTGACAAAGTTTGGTTCTTTCTTTTCTTCTAAGTTGTCCTCGTGTGTGTTTTCGTCTAGGTAATTACTTTTTCGGGATAATTTAGTAGTATGCTGTTCATAGGGTTTGACAAAGTTTGGTTCTTTCTTTTCTTCTAAGTTGTCCTCGTGTGTGTTTTCGTCTGGGTAATTACTTTTTCGGGATAATTTAGTAGTATGCTGGAGTCTTTGTATGTTCTTGGTTTATAATTTAGTGGTGTTTTGGACAAGGCAATTGGGAATTTTATTCGAATCCATTTAGGACATTTAATCAAGTTAAAATCTTGAAAAGAATGAATCTGGAGTGAGCTTTTTGTTGTACAAGGTAGTTTTTATTGATAAAATGATTGCTGTAAATGGTGAAATGTTAGGAAATAGATCGGATCAAGATGAATAAGAACACAGAACCATGAAAGCGAAAAAGAACACAAGAATTTGTTAACCCAGTTCGGATATAAATCCTACGTCTGGGGGCGATACCAAACTAGGAGAAAAAACACTCAAAGAAGAGGAAAAATGAAGAGTACAAAACTCACACACACACACACACACCTGTATGTAAAAGCTTTATAACAAGACAAACTCTTTCACTCCCGACTGAACTCTTTCTTTTGCCTCTCGACTACACAAAGAACTTAGATATTTTCTCTGATTTTTCACACTTACAAAACAAGGTTATGCAAGGTATATATAGCCAATACTTAGGCTAGCATCTTAGGAATGCTTGAGAACAATTCTTGGTATTTCTCTTTGCTCCCTTCCTAAGTGATCCTTTGCACAAACAAGAAGCCTAAGTTATCGTTTGCACAAACAAGAAGGCTAAGTTATTCTTTGCACAAACAAGAAGAAATTTGGTGATTCATATTTACACCCTAACAATCTCCCACTTAAAGATTGATCAGCTTTTCTCTCCTTCATTCTTAGTACCGTCGAGTTTGTTCGCTCTTAATCATCAAGGCCAGTTGAAGCCGAGCATAGCTTCAACTTCTTCAACTTCTTCATCGTAACCTCCTTGGTCAACATGTCCGCAGGGTTCTTTTCTCCTCGAATCTTCTTCAGCTGTAGTGCCTTTTTCTCCAAAAGTTGCCGGATGAAATGCTACTTAATCGCAATGTGTTTCATCCGTGAATGGAACGCATGATTCTTCGCCAAATGGATTGCACTCTGGCTATCGCTATGAAGAATGAAGTTTTGTAGCCAAATGAGCTCCTTGGCTGTCAGTAACTGCCACGTACTCAGCTTCTGTCGTCGACAGTGTAACAACAATTTTCTGCAGCTTTGAGATTCGAGGAGAAAAGAACCCTGCAGACATGTTGACCAAGGCGGTTACGATGAAGAAGTTGAAGCTATGCTCGGCTTCAACTGCCCTTGATGATTAAAAGCGAACAAACCCGACGGTACTAAGAAGGAAGGAGAGAAAAGCTGTCAATCTTCAAGTGGGAGATTGTTAGGGCGTAAAGATGGATCACCAAATTTCTTCTTGTTTATGCAAAGGATAGCTTAGCCTTCTTGTTTGTGCAAAGGATAACTTAGGAAGGGAGCAAAGAGAAATACCAAGAATTGTTCTCAAGCATTCCTAAGATGCTAGCCTAAGTATTGACTATATATATATTGCATAGCCTTGTTTTGTAAGTGTAAAAAATCAGAGAAAATATCTAAGTTCTTTGTGTAGTCGAGAGGCAAAAGAAAGAGTTGAGTCGAGAGTGAAAGAGTGTTGTAAAGTCTTTACATACAGATGTGTGTGTGTGTGAGTGTTGTACTCTTCATTTTTCCTCCGTCGCGGCATTTGCTGTCCGACCCTCTTTTTCCTTCTTTGACGCCCGACATTCACTCTTCATGTGTCCGGGCTTATCGCAATTCCAACATACCATCTCCTTCTTGCCTTTGTTCTTACCCCTGGATTTTGATCTTCCCCGTGTGTCAGGTCTTCTTGACTCTACATACAGAGCCAGACGACCCACCTACCTGTTTTCTACGGGTTTCTTCGTTTAACAACATCATATGTCTGATGTTATCAAACTTCATCTTTTGCTTCTCAGACGAAGTACTGACCGATGTAACAACCACATCCCAACTGTCAGGTAAAGATGAGAGTAAAATTAATGCTTTTACCTCATCATCAAACATGATGTCCACAGATGCTAGCTGTGTTGTGAGTTGGTTGAAGTCATCGAAGTGATCGGCCACCGATTTCCTCTCATCTATTTGCAACCTGAACAATTTCTTCATCAGCATGACCTTGTTGAGGGTTTTTCATACATGTCAGCAAGAGTCTGCAGGACTTCCTTTGTGCTCTTTGCTCCTTTCACATGATAGGCGACATTTCGAGAGAGTGATAAGATTATTGCGCTCATCGCCTTTCGATCGAGCACCTTCCAATCTTCATCACTTGTCTTCTCGGGCTTCTCTGCAAGTGGTCCGTACAGGTCTTTTCCATACAAGTAAGCCTCCATCTGCATTCGCTAAAATCCGAAGTCGGAACCATTGACCCGTTCAACTTGAATTTTTCCTTCCATCTTGACTCCTTGCAACCTAGTTCTTGATACCAATTGTTAGGAAATAGATCGGATCAAAATGAATAAGACCAAAAAACTATGAAAGCGAAAAAGAACACAAGAATTTGTTAACCCAGTTCGGATATAAATCCTACGTCTGGGGCGATACCAAACCAGGAGAAAAAACACTCAAAGAGGAGGAAAAATGAAGAGTACAACACTCTCACACACACACAAATTCTTTACAACAAGACTCTTTCACTCTCGACTCAACTCTTTCTTTTGCCTCTCGACTACACAAAGAACTAAGATATTTTCTCTGATTTTTCACACTTACAAAACAAGGCTATGCAAGGTATATATAGCCAATACTTAGGCTAGCATCTTAGGAATGTTTGAGAACAATTCTTGGTATTTCCCTTTGCTCCCTTCTTAAGTTATCCTTTGCACAAACAAGAAGCCTAAGTTATCCTTTGCACAAACAAGAAGGCTAAGTTATTCTTTGCACAAACAAAAAGAAATTTGGTGATCCATCTTTACACCATAACATGAATGAACCCTAGCAGCCTTTAAGGATGAAGGAATTTCGGTTGCACAATTTGCACAAGTTGATGACATTGATTTGATCGCTTGCAATTATCAAATTTTTGGATGAGTTTGATGTAAACTACTACTATTATACAGGACACAAGTGGTTGATACTTGAGTGTTATTTATTCTCATAAACCCTTCTTGGATTTTTATTTTTTAATTAAATATAGGCAGCATCAGGGGCTGTGCAATGTCAGTTGATGGATATGGCAAATCCAGGAGTTGTTCCCATGCACAAGGTGATCAACTGAAGTTTATAAATTTTCTTGTTTGTGGTTGTAATATTATGGCATTACTAACATATGTAATTCTATCCTAGGTTAATTTTGATGCGAAGACTGAATATGATATGATTCAGAACTACAAAGTGCTTCAGGATGTATTCAACAAACTCAAGATCGACAAGGTATTACTCTCGGTTGTACGTTCGTTTTCATCTCATCTACATATCTTGATATAAACATACTATTAGAACTATTTTTTTTTTTCCTGAATTTATAATTTGTTGAAATTTTGCAGCATATTGAGGTCAACAAACTGGTCAAAGGGAGGCCGTTGGACAATTTGGAGTTCCTGCAATGGATGAAACGATACTGTGATTCCATAAATGGTGGAATGATGAACGAGTAAACTTCTTTTTCTTAGTGTGCCCTGTTGAACTTATGTGTTACTCGTTATTAGTTCTTTTGTGACGTGTATGATTTTGTGTAGGAATTATAATCCCACGGAGCGTAGAACAAGAGGTGGAAAGGACAGAAATTTGAAGGGTTCTCAGAAGAACTTCAAATCATTGCAAACAAACAACTCACTGAATTCCAGCTCGTGCAACAATGTTGGTAGTAATAGGGTTTCTGGTGAGCAAGAACCTTTCATTTTCTTTTGATTTTTTTGTTTCTTTTCTTACTTAATTTTTTTCATATTAATTTCATTTCTTTCCAGTTGTGAAACAAGGGAAATCAAGTGGTGTAGCTGCCAGACCTGAATCTTCAGATGAGATTCAAGTTTTAACAAAGGAGGTAACTTTAGTGTTTTGAGTTGTCTTCTGCATTTTGTTATTCATTATAGTAGCAATCATTGATAGTTTTCAGCTATTTCTTTATATTGCAAGGGTTACTAAACAAAATTATCCATACAGTTTATTCTAATAACAAAGTGAATGGCTTTTTTCTTGAAGTTACAAATGTCCTCTTGAAGGAGAGCCTTTCATAAGTATCCTGCAAAAGTTGGTTCTGCAGGTTTTGCTGTTGTTTAAGCTTTAGCTCAATGCTTCCTTTTGACAATATGATGTGATATGACTCAGCTAACAGAACTCAAGCTTTCTGTTGACCTCTTGGAGAAGGAAAGAGATTTTTATTTTGCAAAACTGCGAGACATAGAAATCCTTTGTCAGACACCTGAGTTGGAAAATCTTCCGGTAAGAATTTCTCATGGTAGTGATGCTGCTGAATTGCTCTAGTGCTAAGAAGTTGTAGGTGTAAAATATTTGTAGATTGGTCATTTACAGCTTACTATTATATTCGTAGAAAGTTATGCTGGTTGTTACTTTATGTGCTTATATATGCTGGTTGTTACTTTATGTGCTTATACTTATAATTTTTACACATGTTTATGTATTTGGGAGTAGTCGACTTTAGAGTAGTTTTTGTAGTTACCTTCAAACTTTTAGTTTAATGATTTTCTTGTTATTTCAACTTACAATATGTACAAAGTGATGCAACTTAACGTGCACATGGAAATCTTTACAAGTTACAACTCCCATTTTATTTGAATATATTGCAGATGGCTGTGGGAGTTAAGAAAATACTATATGCTGCGGATGAGAAAGAGTCTGCTCTTGCAGAAGCTCAAGAAATTGTGTCCCGATCAATGAATGTTGAAGAAAATGGATTTTCGGATGATTGTGACTGAATGAATACGACTTGCCGTTAACACTAGCAGCTGAACTCTGAAGTCGTTTGTGAAGAAAAAGAATACTGTAGGAGTTTTTAGCTGAGTTCGTTTTTGTTCCGTGAACTTGATGTGTAGTAGTCGGTTACTGATTTTGAAAATTCTGAATTATTTGGTGGTGTTGCAATTGTTGCGCAAACAATGTTCATATTGTCGATGATGAATTGGTTTCTGTGTGGTTATTAGAACTTCTAGAATTAGAATTAACCGTCTTGTGTTCTGAGGCAAATGTGCATTCAGTATCCGTTTAATTTCCTCTTATTTTATTGTTTGCATTATGAAACGAAGCATTGTAAACTCTAACATATAAAAAAGGGTACTTCTAATTTCCATAATATTCTGTGTTCTCACAAGTAGCTCAAACCTATTTTATGCAAAAACACTATAAACAACACAAACTAATTATGAAGCTCATAGTAGCTTGAAGTTATCCAAGCACATAACAATTCGAAATGAATCCGAGACTCTTCAACCCAAAATACTATCTTAATGGATTGAAATACAAAACCAAAACCTTCTAGCTATATAGCTACTAGGAGAACCACCTTCACTTTAAGCTAAGAAACTATTCTAATTGTAGCAAGCATGATACTGATTTTCTGTTTATTCAACCTAAAGCTTGATACAAATTCGATCCCTCTATTAGCTCAAAGAAATTTAGAGATTCCTAAACTAAATCTGGCACGAGGAAGACTATGTACTTGGTTCAGATCATATCTTCTTGGCCGATTTTCAGCTTCATGTGGAAGCAGTGTTTATAACATGCCATGTCTTATCACCAAGCGGACCTATTGCCCGACAAGAAGGCCCTTGAGATACCCTTGCATCCATTTCTTTCAACTGGACCAAAAATAGTTCCAGTTAGTTGTGTGCTAGAATAAATAAATAAAACACACTCATCATGAAGTGCTTCATCCAACTTCCTTTTTCAGTTTTTCCTCTTCTACCTATGAAACGAATATAAAATAAACTCATTATAAAGTGCTCCATCCAAAATTCATTTTTCCTCCTACTTTGGTTTGAAGAAAATTAGCGAAATAAAGGATTCTCAATCTAATTAAAGTGATAGGAGGAAAATCAAGTATGATAAAAGGATTCAGTATCCCCTGTTATAAATTATCATAATCCAATATATAATAAGTTTATAAAGCTAGCTACTGAACGAGTTCTCCTGAAGTTCAATAGTATGAGAAATTTCAAGTAGAGAGTGATGTAAGTGCAACCAATTACCTGACTCGTGAGATACTTTATTGAGGCCTTGGCAGCATTATTTTTCCCGGACTCGACCTTGAATAGTGCAGTGGCCTCACTTAGTTGATTTGATGTTCTCTCGAGTTCTTCTGCAAGGGACTCGGACTTCTGGGTGAGAGCTTCTACCTGCAGTGGATTAAGTCAAGCCACTCAATCAGTCACTATATCGGTTTTAAGCAAGTAAGCAACAACTTGAGCATGATCAACATCAAATATCCTTTAAACATGTAATAGTTTTTACCTGTTCCCGCAAAAAAGAGATTTCTTCAGTAAGATCTTCAGTTACTTGATTTGGATCATCAACAGCTTCTTCATGGTCAGGAATGTTACAAAGCGAAGAGGGAAGTGAAAGGGCAGCTGGGCTTGACTTTGTGGAGAAAGGAGAAGATCCTGACTGCAGCTTCGAATCCTGAAGTGAAGCATGCAACCCTTCACAGATGTCAAACATGGACGTTGACCGGCTCGACAGAAAGGACTTGGTGCACCTCAGATTTCTACTGCCCGAATCTATCTTCTGATTCGCCTCAGTAAGCTTGCTGGACCTCCTGAACGAGTTGAAAGACGATAGTCCTTGTTTTTTAGGTTTGGAGGAGTCTTTCTTTGGCTCATTGCTGGGGCTGGCAATCACGCACGGACTGCTGCTCGACTTTGGAGGCCGGGAGGTTGTTCGGTTGCCCGAACCATTTTTTAGCTTAGCAAAACAGTCTTCACACACGCGATACAACTTGTTCTGGTTTAAAGCTAAGGAAGCTCCTAGAGATTTGTTACTGGCACACGCTTTGCAGAAAAACAACCCACAGTTGTAGCAGTTGCGCCGCTTGCGCTTGAAGTTGAATGGATTACGACATCTGGCACAAATCGAGTAGTCGGATGGGCATACCAGTTGCTGAAGACAAATTACGGCCGTGAAATTCTTTCCACAGACGACCCTCTTTACTATTCTCCCCTCAAAGGATTTAACTGCAGTAGGTGAATTTCGGTTGGTATTGTCCCCATGGCCTAACTGACCGTTTTTGCCCTTTCCCCAGGTGAACACCTCGGATGATGATGTCAGGGCAACAACATGATGGGAGCCGCACGATATTTCTTTGACGAAGCAGTTCTTTAGTTTACCCTCGACACGTGTGGGTAATATATGCATGTCTCCAGAAACAGTGCTTCCCATTGAATATACTTGTCCACATTCGGTGAGTGCAACTGTAACACATTGCCCACAGGCTACTTGGCAGAAGTTTTTGTCAATAGGCATAGTAACACTGTTTGGAACTAGTCGGCATAGTTTATCACCTTGACCGAGCTGACCTTCGTCTCCATTTCCCCAAGTGAACAGCTTCCCAGTTGGAGATTCGGAACAAACCTCTATTATTGCAGCAGTATGCCAAAACCCGCAAGATATTCTTACGGCCTTTTGTCCTTTTAGAGCCAAAACTTCCCTCGGGAAACCCGTGCACGAGTTATCCCCGTGACCTAGTGCGCCGAAAGTCCCGTCGCCGAACGTAAACAGCTGACCTAGTGACGTGATAGCGGCTGAATGCCAGGGCCCACAAGATACAGAAGTCACACAGATGCCTTCCAACGTGCCCCGAACTTTCCGTGGGGCCCAGTAACTGAGTTCGGTGCCATGGCCGAGGAGGCCAGAGTTGTGGAGGCCGTCTCCCCATGTGTACAAGTCTCCGGATAGTGTTACGGCACAGGTGTGATATTCTCCACATCCGACTGAAACGATTTTTGACCCGGAAAGAGAATTAATGAGCTGAGGATTCGGCACATTGGCTTGTGATCCATGCCCCAGCTTTCCACCCAAGCCATCTCCCCAACTAAAAACATGTCCTTGTCTTGTGATCAGTACCGCGTGTCTACTGCCGAGAGCAATGTGTTGAGCATCGAGTGTTGAAGCAGATTCCAGAATTTTTGGAGAAAATGCGTCCTTTACCGAAACAGTTTCGGGCATGCCTCCATCCAGCGGACCATCCTCAATTCCTTCTCCACATATGAAAATGATGCTTAAAGGAATATCTCCTGGAGAAGATTCTTGACTCAATGTGCTTAAGGCACTGGAAGAACTGAGTCGGAAAGTATCTGCAGAGTTTCTCCTGGAGACACTTCCATTTACCATTCCAAAAAAGAGACCAGAATCTCTTTGTGGGGACTGCGGGGATGATGTTTTCTGCAGGGTTATGTCAGAAAGTACTTTCTCCAGTCTTTTCTGAGGCAATCTATCAGATGCTAGATCACTTATTTGAAGGCTCTGTTTATCCTGCAAGTATTATGAATTTGAATCAGATGCAATATTAGAGAGTTGGGAAATATCATAGAAAGAAACCTCTTGAAGTGCATCTTCACTGCTATTGGACACGATGGAAAGAGATTGTTCTGTTTGATCACTTGAATAGCCTGACAATGAGGCGTCAGTCTTAATTTCAGTTCCCCATTTTCTGTAGTTACCCCGCGAAACCAATGTCTGCAGGGCCAGGAACCAGATTTCCGCTTCAGATTTGTCTTTGCATATCTGTTGAAATTGTACAATGGTCACTGGAATAATCTTGTGAGGAAGCAATTAAAAATAGTATAAAGTTCTACTCTTCATAAATATACTAGTTTCCAATCTTTCAGTTATTTTTCTTGAGGAAAGTGCACAAGATGACATGGTATCAGTTGAAAAGAGTGAAGTCAATGCAGAAATCAAGCACAGTAAACAAGCAACTGAAGTAGCAGGGATAACCATTTTCAAGAGTATCCGAAAGTTCTTTACACATAATCTACTTTATGTGGATTAATTGAGCTCAAGTAAATTAAACAATAAATAATAAAATAAAATAACTGCAAAGGTTTGTGTTGCCATTTGTCAGATCATTTTTTGGATAGTCAAATGGTTTCCAGGTAAAATAACTTTCATACATGTTACACCTCAATTAAAAAGTCTAAACAGAGCTTAATGAACTTCCATAATTGCTTTATCCTTCGACATCAGGTGGAAAAAATAATAGAGCACGGTAGCATCTATACTCCAGAACACCTGTGAATGTTGCTACATTGTATTATCACTCCAATTCAATCCGGTCCAGATCCTTCTCGTTCAAAGTAACACAGGTGGAATTAAGAAAATGATCGACTGATTGGGCACTCCTGATTTTGAGATCCACCTTTCCTTCATTAGGTTCTCCGTAACATTTATTTTCATATTTTCTTTTTTAGTGACATCTCCTAAAATGATAGTTCACCATACCTCCTATCAGGAAAACGTTAATTATTTGGTGCCAGCTTTTAACTGAACAATGATAGTTCATCATATATCCAACTTTTTGAGTTCAATGTACATGTGCAACATAATACTACAAAAATTAAGTTATGGAAGCCAAAAAAACCATCTATGTATTGCATACCACATCCAACGATCTTCTGCCATGGATAAGAGAAAATGATTGGTATTCCTTCTCAGGTTGAGGATACCTCTGAAATACAGCCTGCATTTTAAATCATATTAGTTCTTATAAATGCAGTTCAATTTATATTTTTATTTTTTTCATCTAAGGGAACAAATCAAACACTCAATTCAAGTGCACCTTAAACTTCACACTAAACATACATCCTATCAAATGTTTATATTATGAAAATCTATATACAAAAGTGAGTACACAGGCAAGTATGCACATCAGTGTCATGATCAATTTTTTAAGCAATGCAGAAGCTACGTATATGAAAAGGGAAAATCCATTTTAAGTAACATGAGCAGGTAAGTTTCTATATACAGATAAATAATGGCCATTAGCCCACCAGTACCCTCCTCATAGTAGTTTTACTCTCAGTGGACAACTTACAAAGCAATTAAGATAGCTTCTGCCAGCCACACTTAAAATATCATATAAAATAAAGCGAACAATCAAATCATAATATGCGATGCAAGAAATAGGCAAACTTACAGTACGTTGTCCAGGTACAATCCTTGAAACTTGACTGAGTTGAATCTGTTTTTGTTTTTTCCCAGAATACCAAATTAATGCTTTCTCATCCTGAAATTTTATAAATACCAATAGGGGTGAAATGACAGTATTGAATATAGTTGGTGTCAAAATGTTTGTGATATGAGAGGAATTAGAATCATGTTAGGCCAACCTATATAAAAAAAGTAAATAATTATGGAGCCAACTGTTTCACGTTACCATCATAGTTGCTACCTCCTACAATTATCATAAACTCAAATGTATTGTAGTTTTGTTAACATTTATCTAAATCCATCTTAGTAAATATCGTTCATGCTGAGTTCTGACACTGAAACCATAGAAAACTCCCTAATAGTGAATTTTATAATGCATATAATGGGAGCAAAGGACGAAGAAAGAAATATATAATGGCTACCACTGTATCACATCTGGACATCAACAACAGAACAATTTTTATCATGCTTTAAACAAAATGTAGCTCACATTGGAGAGCTGGAATAGGAAGAATTTTGGTTTTCCCCATCGCCCATATTTAAGAAGATAAGAACCTCTCTTCAAGCCATTAATGGCCTGTCACAAAGAAATTAAAACAGGTTAGAATGTTATGCAGTCATTGGGAGAAAAACAATCAAGAGAAAGTGCATAATTCATTGACTGCAGTAGTCATCCTCTATGAGATTTATTTTTTTATTGTTTTTGGAAACCACCTAAACTATTGATAGTACTGAAAAAACAACATAATATGTAAGTTCCCATAGTTCTTATTTATGGGACATGAAACTCAGTCTACAGCCACATTATGCAATTATTGAAGAAAATGAACAACAGCTAAGGTCTAAATGAGCATAACATAAATTTTATTCTCTTTCAAGATGTTTGCAGAAAGGAAACTAAGAATAAGAGCATTTACATAAGTAATCTGAAATAATGCTAATAATTACCTATAAAGTAACCAAGGTTCAGTTTCTCAAGAATAAAGAAAAGGAATGAGCAAAAGAGTAATATGAAGTTCTGGTGGACTATCTATGACTGAAAGAAGTACAAATGCTGCTATAAGAAAAAATAAGCACTGAAAGAGAACTAGATTGTCCTGCGGTTTTATACCTGCACAGCATCCCTATCCTCAGTGCAACTTGGTAGGGTACTCATCAAGCTGTAATATCAATTAACTCGTAATGAAAATGTTGAGGTCCATCAAGACAACATCCAAAACAAATAACTCAAAATGGCAAATAAAGGATTTCAGCATACCTTCAGCTCAAAACTAGTACTCTTTCTCACTAACCACTAAAGAGAAGAAATAGTTGATATCCTCCATGCATCAACTAATTCCACAACTATGTCATGACTAAACACTTTATATGAGACAAAACCAAGTTCAGAGACAAAGTATCTCACAGAAATGTTACAAGTAATCAATACATACTAGAAGAAAAAATAAATAAAAAGAAAAAGAAAAAGTAACACCTAATACCATCACCATTCACCAGCAGGCCTTAACCACTCGCAGCAAACAAAAACATCTTCATCGGAACAAGATGCAATCCCCACATACCGCATTTAATGTTGATCCAAGCATGCATGATATACAATAACCAAATTTAAAAATAAAAAAAAAAAAATAAAAAAAAAATNTAAAAAAAAAAAAACCAGAAAAAACAGCCAAAATTGACTTCACAGAAGGAAGATTCAACTTCTGGAAACAATATGCTCTACGTATAATCGAACATCTAAAGAACGTCTTAATTAATGCCCATGCAGGCGAAATCAAAAACTGAACACGAAGCCAGCTGATAAGGAAAGTGACAAGCGCCATTATTATCAGTGGATACGAATCCAACCACATAAATTTTCCAAATCTGCAATCACTCCCGTGAAAATCAGTTACTCGCGATCAATAGTGAGGAATCAGATAAAAAACGAACCTGAAGGAGCTGAGGGTTCAGGAAAAAAGGCGAAATGCCGATCGATTTATTAGCGGTGGCAGTGCGTGAAATCCATTTATTATTATCACCGGACACGGAATCCAACCTCACAAATCGCTTGATGAGTACGTCGCCGGAGGTGCCGGAAGTCTATTTCCAACAGTGTGTGTGTGTGAGAGAGAGAGAGAGAGAGAGAAGCTTGTTCAGGGAAATTGAATGACAGGTGTGAAGAGTGAAATGATCAACGAAATTGGTTCAAGAGAAATAGGCGGGGTTCCTTTTTCCCTCCTTCAGAATATACAATATTTGATGTTATAGATTAACATGGTTAAGAAGTATAGTTGGGCATTTGGTCTAGTGGTATGATTCTCGCTTAGGGTGCGAGAGGTCCCGAGTTCAATTCTCGGAATGCCCCTTACTTTTCAATTTCTTTTTAATATGATGGACCTGGTTTGTGACTTGCTCCTTTATCAATCAGTCGGCTCAATGAGGCTTGAAAAGATGACGGTAATGTAATTCGGCTCGATAAAATTTGATTTCAACTTGAACTCTGCTCGTTGATATTCATAAACGAGCTGAGCGACGCTCCTTAAAAAACATGTTATATATATATTTATGAAGTTTTATTTTTTTTTAATAAATATACTATTTTTCTCCGCTTATTTTTGTTATCGTTATTGTAAATTGCATTATATTTTATTTTTTACTTTTTATAAAAAAATTATAAGAGTTCTCTCGGACAATTTAATAAACATGTAAAATGACACTTATCTTTTTACAATCTCTGGACTTTGGTGTTTTGCATTGCTCATTTTTACCGTGTTTTGCATTGCTCATTTTTACCAATTAGCCCAATGTAAGTGTTGAAAATTTAGTGCTGCAATGACAAAATTATTTTCCCCCTTATGTTAAATACTTAAATGTAAATTGTTACAGTTAGTAGAAGTGGTAGAATTATTCCAAGTATTTCAGCTGGAACAGCTATGTACATTTGAGATGATGAAACAAAAATGCTGCAGTGATGATTTATGAAATTCTTGCATATGATACACGCAAGTTTCACTTTAACAACAATTTTGGGGCAAAAATAACAAATCAACAATCGTCATATGTTTCATGGTTACATTTCAATTAACAAGTTCAATGAACCTCTTTCCGATTTCAACATTTTTCATCACATTTTTAGGTTTTCACTTTTACTAAAAAAAAAAAATCCCATATTTACATTCTAAGGAAATATAATCTGCTGAAATTTCCAACAATCCTCTGTTGAGCAACCAAACAAATATGTTTATTATCCATAAAGTAACTGATAGTCATCAATCATCTCACACACCCAAAAGCCAATATATACTACATTGTGTATTTGTGTATCACAATTTTTGCTACTATTCATCAATATGAAGATTCAATACAACAAACGAACATTACACCCTAAAACTTTTTGAAACAACACAACAACAGAAAGCAGCATTTTTAGGCATCGACCAAATGACTAACGATTACATTAGAATAAAAGGTGCCTAAAAAACAGTCAGTTTCGAAGATTATATTACGGTGTGTCTTCAAAGTTACACGTTTCTCTTTACAGAAAGGGTCAAACTCGGCCACGATCAGTACCTGTAATCCTCGTCATATCTATAGTCGTTGTGGAAAGTGTAGTTGCTAGTCTTGGCAGAAGTTTCTCTATTCTGGAAGTAGGTTAAAAAAAAAACACATATGAATGGTGATATATAGTCAAAATATAGTAATTCGAAATCAAATTAGCATGAAAAAATCATATAAAATCTCATGATCCTATTCATACACAAAATCAATTTTAATTGAACATAGGATATTATCTCTTNAACATGCGTAGAAAAAAGAAAAGAAAAAACAAAAAAAAGACAACTACATACCCTATTAATCATCTTCTCGAATGCCTCAGACCCATTTTCCTGTATGTATTTTTCTGCAGCCGTTAGAATGTCATCTGGCTTGCTGAAAATATCCTTCTTCTTAGGGACATACCAGATATTCACAGACTTTTGTCGAGTGACCAGATAAGGCCTAACATATTGCTCGTAAACATACGCAGCCCCACTGAAGTACGGTATGACTAACCAGCAGGTGAATATTAGCTTTGCATACGACCAGAAAGGTAACCTAGGATATGAACACAATGCACATGCTTAAATAACACATTTAAATTGTGATGAAGATGAAAAATAACAGAGAATGTCCTTTTGGAACATATTTGATCTGCTTTTTGTTTTATTTTCTTTGTTCCGTTTTTTGGAATAGCAAGGAAAGAAAACAAATGATGTGCAAGCTGGACAAAGCAAATACAACCAATACTCGATAATGACACATCAATAGGTTTGTTGTCTCTAGTACATTAGTAATATAAATATTTTCATTATCACTATCTTGTTAATATCTTAAACAAATATAGTCCGTAAAATATAACTTATTGGGTGTTCTATATCCTAGAGTCAAGTCCAGCTTCAATTTTTTTCGGAAACGTTCTCCAGATTTCATCTCATATAAAGCATTCGTCTCCAAGAAAAAAAAAAAGAAAATAAATATACAGGATTTCTCAAGAATAACTTAAATATAAACCACTAAACCACCACAATACATACAAAAAAGGTACAATAACACCAATATAACAGCAATTTAATGAAGCCCAACAGTGAACAGAATCAGCAAATAGATGTCTAAGTCCTATATAGGCCTTGTTCGGTAATAAGCGTTTTGGGGCTAAATTAGAAGTTCGAGGCCAATTAGAAGTTCTGACGACACAACCTCTAACTGAAATGGCGTTTTGGATCCAAAAAAGCTACTTACGAAAAGGCTAAAAATGCGAGCTTTTGGGATGGAGAATTGTAAAATTAGTTGTTTCTTACATATCAAACAGCTAAGTATTACCAAACTTTTGCATAATCCGCTAATCCAATGAGGTAGTCAACAACTAATTCAATCAGTTATCCACTATCCAAACATGCCAAACATGGCCTACGTCTACACGGATAATTGTTCCAAACAAAAAAAAGAGAACACTTACCATTCAATAAGTTTTGCAAAAGTAAGCTCAAACAAGGTAATCATGGAGTAAAGAACCCAATAAGTAAGCCATTGCTGATCATCAACAGGCGACTTTGTCTCGATTGCCCTAATAGACGCATATCTGCCAAAATCCTCAAAATCCCACCACCATTATCCCATATTATCACCAAATCAGTAGACAAACAGATCAAACAAATCACTCTTACAAACAAAATAGCATCTTTTTGCTGAAATACACCTAAATTATAATATAGCAGCTATAGGACTATGAAAATAAGACAGAATTAAAGAAATAAATCCACTCACAGAGGATAAACCAGACTAACCACAGGCCTGCAAAGGAACCAAAAACATCGAATCAAAAGACAAGCGTAAGCAAAAACAAAAACCCAAAATTAAAATCATCGTCACAATAAATTATTGCTATCAAGATTCAATCTTTATTGCAAGAAATCCAATTCCCAAACATATACAAACAACCCCATCTCATCTGTAAAAATAATTACCAATAAAAGATGGAAAGTAAGCCCAACCCTAAATTCCACAAATAAGGCAATAGAGGGAAAAAGAGATGACTCTACCCAGCAAGAATATCGAAATTCTTGGCCAGCACTTTGAGGAAGCTAACGGCTCCAGATCCACCCATCTCCAAAAAACTGTCCCTCTAGATTTTGTATATTTTTCCTCACAGAATATTATTAGATGTTTGGAAAAATTCCAGAAATAAGAAGCGTCTGTTCGTTACGATTTCAGTAAAATATGGGACGCGAGTTTGTTTCAGTTAGAATAATAGAAAAAGGGTGCAGTGATGGTGACCAAAGACGGACAGGTGTTATCCTAGTGAAGCACTGTAGTAGTGAGAAAGCCCTCACAATCTCAACTCTAATAATTCAATTTCTCTCTCTTTTTTTTTTCCTTTTGTTTTTTACTTTTTTTTTTTCTTTATACCCTTTTAAGTCTCTTTTTACTTTCCCAAATTCTATAATATTTTTCTTGGTCCTTGCTCTTTTGAGATAGACTAGAGATGTTAATGAAACGACGCACTCCTGAATTCGACTCGACAAGTTATGGTTTGAATTTGGTTCAAATTGTTTAATAAGTAAATTTAGTTCAAACTTATTTAGTTAGCAACCACAATGCATTGAGTCTAATTTTATATATGTGGCATATAAATGAATTTAAGTCCTATAAATGACATAGACCCAAGTAGAGAAACTCAAAAGTTATTCAATGCAAAAATAAAATACTAAGTCTAAATACATGTCAACCAATAAAGATGTTCTAATATGTTTTCTTTATTAAAAGAAAAATTAAATAAATAATAAATGATGAGTGTTCAAGTTTGTATTTGGGTCCAAAATAGACCCAAGTGTGGACTTGGTCTCTTTTTTTATTGCCACATAAGTTAGACCATGTCCACTTTTAATTGCATTATGAGACATTTTTTTATAGACTAAGTCTATTTCTTACGTGGCATATGATGTTTTATTAAGAGACTCAATGCATTGTGGGTGCTCAACGAGTTGAGCTTATTTCGGTATGTTCAGACTCGAAAATATAATTTTTATATAATTTTTTGATTTTTTACATTAATTTGATTCGTTCATATTGATAAATGAGTTTAGCATGAGATTGTGCATCAGTTGATTCGTTCATATTGATAACTCATTTACACATGTGCCGTAGTTGTTGAATCTTGTTTGTCTGCCCACACAATCCGATTACTATACTAAATAGAATTATATATTTTATAATTAAAAGTTACAATTTGTAAAATACAACTCAAAATGTAATTAATTCGTAAAACACATCTCAGAATGTCATTAGAAGAAATTACACAAATTCTGTTAAAATGATATGATTGCCAACCTATTTTGTCCGTTGGCTAATTGACACAATCTTTCAAAAAAACTACACAATATAACCAATAGTTTTATTTGAATAAAAATAAACTTTGTACTACCAATGATTGTTGGCTAAAATGAATAATGGACCAAACCGTTCATGACATAACTCCTTTGAACAATTAATAACATTATTCTGATACATATTATGAATAATACACATGACAATAATAATTTAATACCCAATGAAATAGGCGTCCGACATTTTCGATTAGAAACAACTTTCGTAGCACACTTTCTTTTTCCTTTTTTTAGGGGACATAGTATGTGTCAAGACACAAGTAATTATAAGATTCTACATTTTTCTTTAAGTGAAAGTTAATCATTTCCTAAGCCCATCGTCAGATGGGCCTACTAAACTCATACATAACAGATTGATAACTATGTGGGTCCATGTCCTTCTAGCCCAACAAAATATACAACCGAACTATACTGCGCCAGCTATCCCTTTCCAGGATTGTGGGCCTCACCACCTCAGCCCACAACTGGACCTGATAAGGTATGGGCCCCCACCTCTCAAGTATTTGGTTCGCTCAACATACTCATACCGACATACATACACAAAGCACGGGTTAGGGAAGAGATTAACTATTAGATTAATTGGTACGCGAAAGATGTATTTCTAGCTAGGGATCACAAATCGTATTTCTAATTTGATCATGATGTGTTTATTGTGTCAATTTATCTCTATAATCGTAATTTCTAATCATATCGTGTTCATGTTTCGTGTCGTGTCAGTTATTGCTGTGCATAATGCTAGGTGCTTTGTTTTCTTCTTCCACTGAGGCCGATTCTAAATATCTATTGAGAAATAGCTAATCAATCCTACTAAGAGATGTATGAATTCTCATCAAGAAGAGACGAGTTGTGATATATGGTCCGTGGACTACTCAAATTCCACCAGTGAATCAAAAGTTGGATTTGTATTGGATTTGTATTGGATTTCACTTGAATGACCTCAAGATCTATTCTCTTCAAGAGGAGATGTTTTCTTTCAAACATTGGTTGAAATCGAAGAAATATGTCATGCTAATGTGTCTTACTTAGATGATCCACAAATCAAGGTCAACTCACTTATAATCACATTGAACTAAGAGTATCTCTAATGATTTTTAGATTGCTCAATTTTGTTGTCACATGGCACACAAAAATCTATGTGGCATAAAAAAAATTTAAGAGCCTTCTTAGATGTAAAAGTACTTCTAAACAATTTCTATTATATATTATATTATTTATTCAATTTTTTTCTCTTCTCCAACCAATTATAATTCTAACCATGTGACTCTCAAAACCCACATACACACAAGGTAGTTATTGGTTTTGCAGATGAGCTAATAGCCTAATAACCCTTCCTGCACTTATGTATGTACTAGTACGTACCCCGTGCGATACACAAGACAGAGATATTAAATGAGTTATTTTTACATCCTTATCCGTTTAAGTCTAAAAAATAATAAGGCTATTATCTATTTTCTACCTCTTTTAATCAACGTTAAGTCTAAAAAACAATAGGGTTATTATAAGTTTTTTTTCCATAACTTTTAATTAACCAGCGTTGTTTTTTTTAGCCAGATCAACATTAAATATGAGCATGTTAGGGCTAGCTTGTAAATAATTAATATATTATCCCACTAAAACATTTATACTAATAAAAATTTAATTTTAACATATAAATTTATCCCTTGATATAAGAGAAAGTAACAGTTTTACTTATTGTTGTTCACTATATAATATTTAATTATTATTTTATTATATAATAAAAAGGAATACTATTGAATTTATTCTGAAAAATGTAAGATTTATAAATTTATTTCGTAAATTTTAGTACGTAAAATTCGGATTAAAAATATAATGATTATAAAAAATATGAATGATTGATTTATATAAATGTAACCCTAAATTAAACATAATCATTATATGTTTAGATCATTACCTAATAAATCTGAATGCAATATAATGAATCAAAAATATAATCTATGTGTAATAATAAAAAATCTGATCGATTATATATATATATATATATATAATTAGTATTTTACGATTAATCTATTGTAATAATAAAAAATATGATTATAATGTCCTCAATCAATACCTAATAAATCTGAATGAGATTATTACGGCAAGTGAATTCATAAATTGTCTTCCTCAAAATATGTTATAATGACTATAAAATATTCTAATACCGAAATAGTAATGACATTTAATGTTGTTGACTTTTCTGATACTAAATATAGCAAATAGGATCCCCTTTTGTATAAGTATAGATTATGTAAAATCATCATTTCAAAATATAATTAAAATATTACATTGCCTTCAAAAGTATGATAACATGCTCCAAAATATAGAAAAATCTAACCAAAAATAAAAAGAAAAATACCCTGAGGTTCTCATTACATTGATGATACTAGCCTCTGTGCTCCTGCTGCACCTTCATCATAATGCCAATGTTTAATTTCTTTCACAATTATTAGAAATAAAGGGTCCAAGTATTCAATATACATAAGGTGTCCCACACAAATTTTACACACAAAAAGTCCCAAGGCTTTAACCAGGAATAATACTTAATTGCATAGACCGAGTTGTGTAATGTCTCAAGGCCTTTACATATATTTGGATATTACCAAATTAAAGATAAAATAGTTTCCTGACATATATGCTATTGACATGAATTGAGTGATATTTGAATTATGCTAGTTGATGGATAAAAAGCATTTTTCCTATTTTAGTGTACAAACTCTTCATAATGTATTTGTGTGTGTGCTCATGTCTTATAAAGTTAACTCATATATGCAAATATGTCCGGTAAAAAGTAATTTAAAAATCATATAATAGGTCTTACGTAAGAATTACTAGTAAGATATTAATGTGCAAGCCAAAACCTAATTAATTGCAATTATAACAAGTGCACTTATATTATATTATTCAAAACAAATCGTGGTACATAAATTAGCCCGATCTATCAAGGAACAATTATACTCAAACCATGATGAATATTAACATTGGCAAAACAAAATTAAATCTCAATCTTCACCAAATCAATTTTTTTTTTAAAAAAAAAAGGAGAAAAAAAGAAAACAGCTACTAATAAATCCAATGCTGAAATTCATCCTCCTTGAAAACCCTAAATCCTTCATATTAATAATATCACACAAAACATAATTAAATTAAACCACTATATATAATTAAATCTCATAAATTTAATTTCCACAATTCCACAGCAAAAGCAATCAAACCTCACTTTAACACGTTTTCCAGGTAGCGCGCGTTCAAGAATGCCGGCCGGGATAATCACGCCGGTCCTCCGAACCCCTCGCCGGAGACTCCGAAACTCCACCCACATTGCCTGTCAATTGAAAACCACCGCCGCCGCTCAACCCCTCAAAATTCCCAAATTGCCCCTCCCCAATCCCCCCGAGCTGCTGCGCCTGCAGCAGCGACACCGGCGCCGCAAAACCCGCAAACGGCGGCAGAGCCCACATCGGATCTCCGGCGACCTGACCGTTGCTCGAATTCGCCAGCATCCACAGGCTCGACGGGATCGGCGCGTGGCTCGCCGGCATGACGCCGACGCTCGTCTGCATCAGGTAGCTCCCGACGACCTGGTGATCCTCCGGCGGCTGAAACAACTCCTGCTTCGCCGGCGGCGGCACGGACCGGTGGAGGAGGGCGGATCTCAGGTGGGAGGGGGCGGAGACGGTGGATCCCGAGCGGCGGAGGGAGAGGCTGAGGGAGGTGAAGTTGGCCGGGATTGTGCCGGTGCCGGTGGCGGCAATGACGGAAGGCTCGGCCTGCTGGAGGAGCCACTCGATGGTCTCGCCGTCAGACCGGTGGCCGAGCTCGCGGGTGAGCTGGAAAACCCTAGCGGCGCAGAGAGCCGGCATGCGGATGCGGCGGCCACGGCCGTCGACTTTTGTGTGGCGGTCTTTGGTGGGCCCGCGGGGCTTCTTGGAGGGCTCGGGGACGGTGCTAGGGTTTGGAGGAGGCGGTGGAGGTAAGGTGGGGGAGGAGGAGGAGCTAGTGGAGCAAATGGGGGGTTCGTCTTTTGTTTCGAGGAGTTGGAAGGGGAAGTTCCGGTGGTTGTGGTGGTGGAGGAGGCGGTGGTTGTGGTGGTGGTGGTGGTGGAGATGGTCGTTATCATCATCTCCTTCCATGATTGATTTATTTTTTATTTTTTGGGGTGATGTATATAGTAGAGGGGAAATGAAATGGAATTGGAACCCCACAAGTGACTTTCGTTTACTTTTATAATAAATGTATGTGCGTATTTTGTAGGGGGGTTTAATTGCATGAAAAGACTACGGTCCTGTTACGGAATGAGTTCGTAACGAGACTGTAGTCTTTCACTTAATTGTAGCTTATACGATCGTAAGACGAAACTCGAGCATCTCTCGGAGGAAGACTATTCGTAACGTCGTTTGGTAACTAGTTATCAAAAGCAGAAACAGAAAAAAAAGTACTAAACATTCTAACAAGATTTGATTTGGGTGATTTTAGCTAATTTAATCTAAGCAATTAACTAAAGGTGCAAGAGATGCCTCACGCCGCGGAGGACCGTGTAATTGAACATAAATAAAACCGTTGGCAGAGGGCAAGAGCAATTTCTTTTCATGTCTTTCAAATTATTCTTAATATATTGTGTTGCATGGTTTGTCCTTAAAAACGTTTGTTCTTGTAAGTTTTTATGCAATAAATTGACAAAAAACGCTAGTTTCGAACACAAATTCATGTGTCAGACCGAAGTCGATAGTACGGGTTTGCACATTTTCTTAACGTTCGATGCACGATCCCAACATTGGGCTAAATCTTTTTGTTTTTTATTTTTTATTGTTACAGAGTGTTGTTGGATAAACTCTTATGCAAAAATAAATAAATAAATAAAATAAAAATATTTTTCTAGTAGAGCTGCGTCTAGACATGGACACGGGCCGACCCAACGTGTCGAGTCGACCCGAACCAGCCCTGGATCGACTCGGAATCGAACCCATGGTTTGACCAACTTCGGGCCTCATTTATGCACTTTTTGAACTGTCGGGACAGTGTCAAGCCGGAACCGACACGACGGTTCGACTCTTTTTTTCTTTTATATTATTTTTCTAATGAACCGGCCCGGCCTAAAACCGGTAGTTCATCAAACTGACCCGTGCATATATTCGGGCCGTTTAAGGGCTGGCCAACCCTTGGCCTGAATCGGCCATTTTGGCCCGAAATTGAATTTGGTCATGTCTAGTTGCGTCATGTCAATTCACAATTAAAAAAAAAAAAGGAATAAACAATATTTTTAAGAAAAATGGCAAGAAAAGACGCTGGGCTACCGTGGTCTCATTCACTTGGCATTTCTATATGGTGTTTATTGAACTATTAAATAATAAAAGAAAAAAGAAAAAACATAAAAGAATATATATTATATATATCGATATCCTTTTTTCGAATGGGTATCATTCATTCCTTTCATAATGCATATTAAAAGCCAAATGAGTACCAAGCCTTAACCTTTTTCCAGTGATCGGATTATTTGGTCAAGAACACACTTGTGATGCTTTGAATTATGAAATAGAATTAGATGAAACATGAAATGATACAACTTTTGGTCTTTCTCCTTTTCTAGCTTTGTACCTTTTTGGAATGGTGCTCTCTGAAACTCTGTAACTTCTCTCAGCATGTGTTTTTCCCTCAATAATGGAGCGTAGAATGACATAAGGAGGACAAAGTTTTAACCAAAAACTTTTACGGTTTTACCAATTAATGTTGCTTAATTACAACAAAATGTCATGTCAATATATATAGTGCAATTATATATATATGCTCTTACTACTGCATTGTATTGTATTTATTCATTGTTAGCTTAAGATGTATATTTTGTGAAGAAATATTTGTCACTCATTAACAAAAAGATTATAACAATTATAACAAGTAGCTAAATTATATGTACATTTTATATATGTGTGATTGAGTCCATATGCACATTTTTTTTTTCCAGTGAATAAGTTTTTATTATGTTAAATGTCTAGAACTATATAGTTTGTGTCCTCTATGAATAATGATATCCACACAAGATATTTTTGTTGGCAAAATCATAAAGTATGTTGAGCAATTTGGTATATATATATATATATATATATGCTATTTGTGCACATAACAATAATTCATTTTATAGCATCAAAGAAGAAACACCTTTTTGCGAACAAAGAATAATGCCTAGTCATATTTGGTGTCTCCTTAAGATAAATTGTACTATAAAGTTAAATATAATTTGGAACAATAATGTTGTTGCTAGACACCCCTAAATCGGTTAGGTAATTTATTTTTTAACAAATACACATATATTTGAAATGTCATACGGTACAAAACATGAATATTTCATAACAAAACATTGCATTTAATTTCCTTGAAAGAGAAGTATAATGTCAAAATATGGGAAAAACTCTATTCTATTCTCGATGTAAACTCAATTTTACAAATTCTCCCCAGAATTGACGGATTGATGACTCGGTTTGTTTGTATCATACAAGAATTTGTGAACCCAAAATAATATATAAACGTTGAGTTACAAAAATTGACAAATATATATATTTTGCAAATGTAGAAGGCCGAAAATATCTTCCTTTTGTTGGGCTCTCCAATTATGTCGATCCGATGAACGCTCCTTTACCAAAATGTACCAAATTACAAATTCTCATTTTACTTTACTTTATTTTATTTTATTTTAGAATGATATTGGAATTTATAGGAGGGATTCTTGCATTGTTTCCTTTTATTATGCTTGGACAGAGTTTTTGCATCAGACTCCACGTGAGATGCTCCTTTTATCATTCATTTCATAAGGACAATGGTGACAATACGGGACCCAATGACAGATAAAATATATATAAACAAAAATAAAATAATTAAATTGAGACACAAAAATTGACCAAGAAATGAAAAAACAATAGCAAGAATTTATGAAAAATCAAATGATTCAGAGAAAGTTTGTGCCCACTATTGTTATGATCATAATGGCTACACATTTCGCTTCTTTATCTNAATTTGTTAGTTTAGTTTTAAGATTGCGTATGTGTTTGCGTTTGTGTTTGTGTTATATATATTGATCGATTCTAAGTTGTCTACGTATTAATTTTAATATTCAGTTTAATTTAGCTTTTTTTTTCAGTTATTAATGTTTCTTTCATTTTATATAAAACAATGAAAAGAAAAGGTTGTTATGTGGAATTGAATGAGGAAATGTTACTCAATTACATTTGGTTATTTAGAGATTATTTGATATGTCCTATTCATTTTTTTTAATATATAATTACTTTACTTTTTAATAACACATAAATAAGTAGATGACCTATATATACCGAGCATTAAATTGCAATTGCACCACTACCACTCATCATTTTGTAAGATGAATACCTAGGTTCATAGCTAATTTGGGCTTCGGTCAACATCAAAATAATGGACCAACAATGATTATATGGCGAATCCATCAAAAACCCTAGTTCCAAAATGACCACTGAAAATATGTGCACACTTTAAATTAGTCATATTTTAGTCATACAATGGTCCTATTTTACATTAAAATAAGCAATTTCTGATGTCATATTAGGAAAATTCGTCTCTACCAATAAGGACACTGTCTTTATCGATTTTTTTTAGGCTTAGATAAATATATACTCGTTTGATTTTAGGTATGAATGTGTGAGCGCGTATGTAAGTATAATTTAACAGTAAAAAAAAATTGATGAAAACACTAAAATCGAATCATCTATCCAACCCTCCGTGCCCTATCTCTTGCTTTTTAGCTTGAAAGTCTAATATTACTAGTTCGATTTATAATTCATCTAGAAAAAGAGTTAAAAAGAAAAGGTTAATTGGTCAATCAACTTTGTTGACAATGACAAATTTTAATCATGGCCTTTTAGAAAAAAAATTAAAATCAGGAGCCATTGATTAATTAGTGAGGCAGAGATTCAGAAATCGGAGAAATCGGGCTGTCAGCTAATCCGTACGCAATTGCTAGTTGACAGTTGAGTTGTCGGATGAGCTAAAACCGTTAGCCCAACTGAATTAATTAAAATTAATTATAGGAAAAAAAATATCAATTTCAGTACCAATTAGAGTACCAAAATATGAGAAAACTAATTTTTAGGGCAAGTTGTTTTAGTACACAACGATTTTAAAGTTAATTTGTTTTCTATACTCACATGTGAATTCACTACTGGAGCTAATAACTAAAATGCAATATATGATTGATAGTAGAATATTGAGATTTTCGTCAAATTTTTGTACCAAACATTTAAAAAATTAAATCAGTTTAAATATTATGTCAAACTGTTGAGAATTAATTATGGGAGTAACTAATGCCAAAATATAAGATTCCGATAAAATATACTGAGATTCTCATCAAATTCCAGTCCCCATCGTTTGAAAAGTTAATCAATAAATTTTCTTACAATACTTGTATGTGAATTCACTGTTGAGTGTTAATCACATGAGTAAATCTTTTATGTAGTTTAGGATAAAAGGTTGAAACTCTCGTCTCATAGATACAGAAATAAGAAATTAATATATCTCTATACTTCAAATATTCTTCCCTTATATCTATATATTATTTGGATATTGTAATCGTGTAATACATTAATTGATTGATCATTAGGTGATGAATTTTTTCAATGTGAATTAAATTTCTTCTAAAAAGTTAAAGGTATAATTTCAAAATAGTCATGAAAACATGAAAATTGCACCACCATTTAATAATTTGAATATTCTAAAAAAGCTTTTGAACGATACGAAAGCCCAGAATTAGTAGATACACCTTGAGCTGTGCTTCGTAGTTTGTGACAATCAAGTCCATTTCGCATATCACCTCAGAGAAATGGACCTCCACCAAATAAATCTTACAAAAAATTAAAAGAAACAATGAAATGCCAATAAATCAATAAGATTTTTATGAATTATTCTTAAATAAATTGGCGGGTCAATCCAATCTACTGACCCAAAAAATCAAACACATTTGGATTCATAGTGGGTTGTTAAATCACAGCCCACAAATTTATCGGGCCAGACTGGGCCCAACAAATGATACTCATTTTCCATAAACCATAATATCAAATGGATTGCAGCAATCATTAGAGCATCTCCAATTACATGAATTGTTCTCTTCCATTGCCAC